GATCAAAGCGCGGCCAGTTTTAGCCCAAGTGTTAGGCTACAGCGTAGGGATCATTCATGCTAATAGTGATCTGCGAGTTTAGTGCAAAAACGCATGATCGCACCAGGGAGCCTGGTGCGTTCCAGCCTGGGTTTAAAAAGTGGTCGAGCGGTCGTCTGTGAAAAAATCCAAGTATGCTAATGAACTAATGTTCATTTACATATTTGGACGAGGGCGGTTTCGCCGCAAAACGCATTCGTTTCTGATTTTTCGACAAAGTTGAGTATTTCTTGTGCCTAACTGGAAGGAATTCCACCTTCAGGCAGAATTAAGACCACACTTAAAGGTAGAGTATTCCAGCGAATTTTCCCTCGCAGTTTAGCTGACATGCGAAATTTTTTTTTTTTTGCGAAAAATTTCGCTACAAATATCTTTGAAGTGCCCTAAATCGTGGCGCAAGTGCAAACCGGTACTCATTTTAGGTACTCTATTTCCTATGTGGGAGACAAAAATCCTGACAAAATTTCAGCCCACTATTTTCCGCCAATTTTTCGAGTTAGCACAGTACCAAGTCGAAAACTCTGACGTGGTCGTACGCACGTCACAAGCATGCGCGACAACTGAATTTGAAATCTTTAGTTCACACATGCACATAGAATATCCTTGCAAGACTTCAGCTTTCTACCTTGCCTAGTTCGCGAAATCGCTTCCCGCCAAATAAATTTGCATATTTTTTTCGGGGGTTCGTACGCAGGGTCCAGGCGTGTGTGGAGAAAGATCTTGAAACGGGAGGGTGACACATGGGACAGGAACATATCCCTAACTTTCAGCCTCCCAGCTTTCCTGATTGCTGAGATGAAAGTGGGTGGCAAAACACGAAAAGTGATAGAAAAAATTTATTCTGGAATGTTTCATTTTGTTCTTTTGTGTGTTAATAAAAAATATGTAAAAGGGGATCAAAAGGAGGGAGAAGGAGTAAGGACTTCTGGGGTGGGAAAACAGTTATTCCTAAAACAGGGGACGCTGGGATACGACGGACTGGAAGAAGACTGCGACGTCGAAAGGAGGATTGAGCGAGGAGAAGATTGCGTGCGAAATTGGGGAGTCGGCAGCTGCGAAATCCGTTGGAGTTCTCAGACTTTGGTGTTTGTACGTTTATCATTGAATTACATTAAAGCTGTGTTTTTGGGCAAGAAACTGAGCTCTTTGCTTGAAGCACAGCTATTTGATCACAGGCGTAAGTCAAATGATCAACAGGTCCGTACGCGCGGTCTAGTCGGGTGTGGGGGAAGATCTTGAAAAGGGAGGGTGACACACGGGATAGGAACATATGTCCTAAGTTCCAGCCTCCCAGCTCTTCTGGCTGCTGAAATGAAAGCGGGTGACAAAAGGCACTCGCTTCCGAACACCCACACACACACAGACAGCCTCTCAACAATACGCCTTTTGGCTGACTGTAGTAGCGCTAGCGCTACACAGCGAAAACGCATAAAAAGTGACTCACAACAGCAGCCAGCGCTCTAAGACATTCGATCACTTTGTAACACTGCTTGTTTTCATACAAATCAACAGTTTGAAAGCAAGAGATTTCTGGCACACCATATGCTTTGATAGCATCCAGAAAATTGCTAATATTTTCCATCTGAAATTTTGTTTAGCAGTTATCAATTCGTAGCTTCGCTGACACAAAAGTCTTGGAATTCCTCAAAGCGTCTGAAGCTGTCTGGACGTCTCATAAGATGTTTTTAAAGCCACAACTGGGAGCCTCCAACTCTGAGGAGAAGCTAAGTTGGTGCGAAAAAAAATGAAAATCACCGGGACTTGAAGAACAGATTTCTCCCAAAAATAGCACTGATATGCTAAAATAATAAATTGCCAGCAAAATGAAATGTGGTAAGTTTCCTTAAATTTCCAGACATAACGGCATTTTTGTTTGTGTAAGACACCTATGCCATGTTAATGCCACAAACGCCCGATCGTTAGCTCTCAGTTACTGCAAAGCTAGAAAAATTTTTTAGAACTTTGAAGAAAACTGAGGAGTAAGATCAAACTTCAAGGACAAATCTCCTGGCTCAGCACTTTGTCATCATTTTCTAGAAACAGTCAAATATCTGATAATCTCGGCATATAAGCGCTTTTGTTATTCATTTTGAAACTCTTTAACGATCTTTCGGAAAAGAAAAATATTATTTATTATAAACTGGGTCATATTATTGTCACAGTCGCTAGTCGACATGACGCTGCAGCAAATATTACTGTTCAATGTCTTTTTTTTCATTCAAAGTAAAAAACAAACCTTGTGAAAAGGCATTTTTGGATTGCAGTTATATGGCACGCTCTTTCCTTTGCCGACAAGTCGATTCATTAGCCTGAAATTAATTAAATTGAGCTTTAGGATGATCTGAACGTAAACGACCTTACAAAACTGAAATCCGAAGAATCTCATTCTACTTCCATATCTGCAAGTCAAGTTAAACTCGCACTATTTAAGATTTTAAGAGCTAAGTGAACCAAGTATTACTTGTTATTAAGCGGAATATTATTCTGCAGCCTGGTCGCAAGCTGCGCAATCCCCTCGCTCCTACTCTGCTTTCCACATCCC